TTTTTTTTTTTGCGTATGCGATGAAAAGTTCCGTTCGTACTTACGGAATCTCAATCGAGTTCGGTATAATCTGCTTGTGCTGAAGAAATTGGTAAATGCTTTCGTTTCATTTCCTTAATTGCTATAATTTGGATGGCACGCACACACATATTCCTTTATTAATGAGGTAAAACGTGCACAAACCAAAACCGTTCCGTATCACATGTTTTGTCTATGGCGCAGGCGATCCAACGGAAAACAGACGCTAAAAATGGAAAGTGTGAAAAATTAAGATGAGAATAGGTTATAAATATATGTAATAAAGACATGATATTTCGTTGTATTGCATGCTCACTGCAATGATCGTGTATCCGGCTGTGATATAGCCACAAGCATTGAGATAGAATCATTTTCACCGCTTTCGAGTGTTTGACATGAATCCAATGCAGAACATAGTTGATGTGAAAATATAGAAAAAATAATTTTGTTACCTCCCATCGTGTTGGAATCAAGGGGGAAACTACTAATACCGCATAATTCATATTAATACAATCTAGTACAACACCAATTCTGATAAATTCCAAAGAATTCTGCGCAATTCAGAACAATTCCAATCAATTCCGATGTTTCTAAGTCAAATTTGATGATGATCAACTTCAAAAATTGCAAATATAGGGTCATTTAGCATCTCAAAGGAATGCTTAAGCGCATAGATGTTCAATCTTATCGAAATAACTTCAGATATGGCGTTTTTAATTGTACATAGGTCTCACTTCCAATTCAATATTTCACTTAAAATAGGTAAAGGCTTTATGATACATAAAATATTTTTAAAATGGAAAACAGAGCTAGAATTGAGTCTTGTAGATCAAAACAAGTCAAATATGTTCTGGAAGTAAAAATCTTCAATATGCATTCAAATGAATGGTAAATGTCCCTATATTTGCGATATTTTGAGTTGATCATCACCAAATTTGACTAAGGAACATCGGAATCGATTGGAATTGTTTTGAATTGCGCAGAATTTTTTGGAATTTTTCAGAATTTGTGTTGTACTAGATTGTATTAATATGAATTACGCGGTAGTAGTAGTTTCCCCCTTGGTTGGAATGGAGCCGAAATGTGGTGAAGAGCGTATTGAGCACGCCACACACACACACACACACACACACACACTATGTGACACACACACACAATACGTATTATTAGAAAACTTTGCTTTCGTGACAAGCGTAGAATATTTTGATTTACATTTTTTTTTCTCCTTCTGCCATGTGTATATGTGCAGTAGCACCGATTTTTGGCCGCTATTATTATTGTTAGTGCTTCATTAGTTGGGAACGTGACATCGATTTAAACGAATTCTTGGCACGATTTTAGTTCGATTTACTCGCAATTTATCCACCACAATAGTTCCGATTCATTTTTTTTCGAAGTTTTTTTTTTCGCAACGGTATATTGGTATCGTTGTCCAAGATCATTTCAAGAGCATGATTAAAACCATGATGAAGCTTAATATGGTGTAATTTGATTGACACATAGATTTAGTTTTGCATCAGCTTTGGCTAGATTGGTGTGTATGCATATATACTCATTTATTTTCGCATTAAAGCATGAAGAAAGCATTGTGTTTGTGGTTGTGTGGGTGAACACTTGAAAGAGAATTAATTTATCCGCTCTACTGTTTAATATTTTTCTTTGTATTACAAGAAAAAGAAGGAGAAGGAAAAACTTTTGAGCTTTGTTGAAGCAGTTTCATAAGATTTTTCTTTCGGCATATAATAAAATTTCAGTGGTTGAATGACTAAAAGCAGTTATTAAACTTTCTTGATTTTGCCATCGCAAAAAAAGATCTCATCTACAGCGAGATATGTAATATGAGAGGAGAATGTTGTGGGAAAACAAAGGGTATAGCCATCGTTGAGATGTTGTTATATTGTGCGTGGTTTTAGATTCTTCATTCACATAATGGAAACCGTAACCAAATCCCTTGCTTTTACTTTGGCTTTGGCTTTGGCTTTGTATACTCAATGTTTCGATACTCAAGTAAATAGATCAAGTGGCGAGCACATATATGCACGAAAAGAATGTTGATTTCATCACAAAGTTTATCCATCATCATCATATCATATAATTTTAACATCATAAAAATACGAGCAATTGTTCACCGCTTGCACAAAATATTTGGAAATTTAATATCTGCACACAAAGACTTCTTATGTGTGTGAGAGTGTGAGCGTGGGTGTGGGTGTATATCAGTGGATTGCAGAATGTTGCATCAAACAAAGTTTTGCAGCGGGAAAACTTACGCATCTCAGCTAAAGTTACGATTCAAAAATTGTTGTGAAGTTAAAGCAAATCTCCAGCAAAACTTCCCCGGCAAAAACATGCGAACTTGTTCAAAATATTTATTTTTCCCTTGTGCGCTTCACTCTGAAAATAATAGCAATTGATCGTTTTAATGTTGTTTGCCGTATAACTGAAAATCCATCAATTTTAATTGCTCTGCAGACCATCAATTACATAATTTATGCGTTTAACACGTAAAAATTAGTGTTGATGAACAAGTACGAAACTATTGAAATTCGCTGAGCATCACGTTTGCTACTAGCGATAAAACATATGCGATTTATTCAGTCAAATGGCTTTAACACAGAACGAAAATAATTCTTCAATAAAAAAAAAAGTTTAGCCAAGTTTATTCATTGAATAAAATCCGTGTGCTGCTGCATCCATTTTTATGTCGAGAAAAAAAAGAAGACCAGAAGCTTCAACGAGCAGCACCGTTCGGGTAAATAATACAAAGGTTAACTCGTGCGTCGCATACAAAGAAATTTTGATCAAACGATAAAAGTTTTTAATTTGTTTTTGAAAATTTGGTTATTAAAGTTTTTTCGCGGAATGATTTTTTCCTTTTAGCCATTTAAAATGCGGTAACTTATCAGTTGGATCTCTTTTGGTTTTTTTTTTAATACTTATTAGAAGTGCCCATGAAGATACTTCGATAATTGATAATCAACATTTGCTCTGATTTTCATATGCAAGAATTGGATGATGTTTAATATTTCTTCTGGAAAAAAAAAACACTTCTCCTTAGTTTGAAACAAGGACGAGTTCTATTTCAGAGACAAAGTCATTTCCGGAAATGGAAATAACCAAAATCCATTCACTGTCACAATACACACATATTCTGGAAACTCGTGTGCAAATCAAATTCGAATATTCCTCCGTTGGGTCTATTTTTCAAAGATAATCGGTTGAATTCGAATGGTTTTCGTTGAAAATCTTAATAAATTCGGTGTATCGCGAAATTCGTGCAATTTCCATTTCGACATTTTTATTGGTTCAGTTGCTATTAGCTGTCACAATAAAAATGGGATGCGGTTGAATAGCTTTGATTGTAATAAAATAATAAAATGAACTACGACCTGATTGTAATAACAAAAATCATTCGAGGAAATACGCGAACGCACCGAAGGAACAAATGAATACACCAAGTGAATGGTGCAAAGAAAAAGGTGGGACAATTCAATTATGCTGGTGTTCAATTAAGGCAAGAAATGACTGTTGCCATCATCAGCATCGTTAAGGATTACATAACAGAATGAGAAAAAACGCGTTACATTTTTTCATAAATAAATTAGATTGAATCATAATTCGCAATCAATTTGAATGTTCAAATGCAGAGCATGTGCGCAATGTGTTTATATATCCAAATGCGGTAACTGAATGGGCTGGTGGGTGTAATGAATTTCACACATCTTTTCG